ATAGTATATTATAGTATATTATAGTAAATTAAAGTATATTACAATATATTATAGTATATTATAGTATAGTATATTATAGTATGTTATAATGTATTATCTTGTATTATAGTATGTCATAATATATCATAGCATATTATAGTATATTATAGTATATGATAGTATATGATAGTATACTATAGTATGTTACAATATATTATATTTGTGATAATTCACTACGTATAGTATACTGTAATATACGATCGTATACTATAGTATACTATAATATATTAGTCGTAATCGTGTTGTTAGCCTTTGCTCGGGTGTTTTTGGGCCACTCGCCTCCATTGTCAGCCCTCAACACCCGATATCCCTGACACCCCAAACCCACCTAAGGCCAAAAGCCCCAGAGTTGACCACAAGAGTCGAATCGATAGGTTAACAGGTGACATAGGTGAGTATACCTCTAGTAGCCTGAATAAAAGCTACGAATACTCGGAATCTTAATATCATGCTTGTGCTGAAAACTATTGTAATCACACAACCCTTGGTAATCCTACAAATAGCAATTAGGTCCCTGGGTCCCTTCAGTTTCTTGATGTCAGGCCCGCTTCAAACTTCGGGGGACGAAACTTTGGAGCTCATGGCTTTGGCTTCGACAGGGCTTTTTGCCGGCTGCGAAAGACTGTCGTAGGCTTTGAGGTTTGGGGCTCGGGGCGTAAAGCCTTTGGGCTTAGGGCCTTTGGGGTCAGAGTTCAAGGTTCCAGAGGCTTCAGTTGTTGCAAAGTTGGGTTACCGGGTGACCTGTCATTTTCAGGATGGTGTGGAAATTGGCAAAGCCATTCAAGCCCTTCCAGGAAATGCATTTTGGGGCGTTGTAATCGCCTGCCGAACTCACATGGATCTTTGCTGATCCACAAAGCACCTCCGTCTGAAGCGGCAGCAAGGGGTAGGTGAAGAGCGTCCAGCCGAGCCGGGAAGCGAACGCGATCCCGACGACGGCGTAAAAGACCACCAGAAGCCTGGGCTGCAGCTCGATTTGGGTTTAAGGTTCATGTAGGGTCTTTGGCTGTAGAAGGCGCATGAAGGAGGGGCTTTATAGAGGAGTTTATAAAAGCACCTCGCAACGACAAGCATGTTGCTTGATGGACGATTTTACAAAGGGTGTTATACCTTCCGGGTTCTGGTAATTGAGCGGATCCCAAACTTTTCCCAGAGCCCCAAAATAAACTTGAAGCCCTGAAACCTAAACGCTTTCCTTTCAGAGAGTCGGTAATGTGGGATCGTATGCTGTAAGATACTGAATGTGCCACAATATACCGTAATATACTGTAACCCAACTATTATCGGCTTCAACTGAGCTGCAGCTTCAAGTTTGGAGTGCAAAGGCATGTTTGGGATTCGTTTGTTGAAGGGCTTGGTGGGGTTTAGAGGGGGGCATTTCTGGGCTTGAAGGCCTCCTTCAAGGGCAAAGTTCTAAAAAGGCACTATAATGTCGGGGCCGGGACACTTACCAGCACTACGTCTTAGGGCTCCTTGGCATTATTATACTACAGTATTTTTGCGCGGCCCTATGCAAAGCTCACGCACCATCCTAACCCACTCTCACTAGGAAAAGAAAGAGGTGGACCCAAGGAGCTACTTGCACGTTGGCAGCCCCACTAGCTTGTTTCAGACTAGACGGTTCACTGCCAGCCTGTGAAGTTGCAAACAAAGTAGGGCGTTCGGTAGGGAGAGCCTGAGGGGTCTGTGAGAGCCAATGCCACACCAATTCGGCACACTGCCCTGCCCAGTGTACTCTACGACGGCCTGGCCTAATCCCTGACTTTACTATACCACAACAGACCCTTAAAAAAACTATTCTGAGTATCGGAGGCTCCCATATTGCGGTTGAGGGTCTCGAGGGTTTAAGGGTTTTGCCACTCGGGGCTTCCGAGGCATGGGGCATGCCCGGCCTCACAATCAGGGTTTAGGGTTTTAGGGTTTAGGGTTTAGGGTTTAGGGTTTAGGGTTTTAGGGTTTAGGGTTTAGGGTTTAGAGTTTAGGGTTTAGCACCATCCCAAACTAACCCCGAATCCCTATCTGAAACAAATTTTCCAGCACCTCAACCACCAAAAAGCAACCACAGATCCCCAAAGTCCTTGCCACCGGAGTCCGAAAAACTACCGAACAGACTTCGGTAAAATACCCGACACCTAAATGAGCTCTGTCAGGACCCCTTCTTAAGAAAAAGTTTGTAGAACTTTTAGAACTTGGGATACAAAGGCCCCCAGCGACCAGCAACACGTCGTTTGGGGAGCGAGATTTACGTCATCTACATGTTCAGCCATCTCTATGGGATGGTGCTCGTAACTTCGTTCCTCCCTGAACCCTACTAAACCTCAAACCTTAAACTCTAAACTCCGACATTAAGGCGGCGGAGGTGCGTGCTGGTTGAGGCCGGCAACCTCTTCTCCTATGAGCTCTTCGGAAGCACAAGTCCGGGTTTCATATAGGGGCCTGAATATATAAGGAAAAGACTGCTTCTTGCTTCTTGACACCCTAAACCCTAAACCCTAAACCCTAAACCCAAAACCCTCAACCCTAAACCCTAAACCCGAAACCCTCAACCCTAAACCGAGTTTCCTCAGAAGTGCTGTTCAGGAGGCTTAGGGTGGAGGGGCCTGAAGAAGTACGAGACGGCCTAGGGCTTGCGGGGTATGTTATACTCTGTTATAGCTAGGTTTAGGGTTTAGGGTTTAGGGTTTAGGGTTTAGGGTTTAGGGTTTAGGGTTTAGGGTTTAGGGTTTAGGGTACAATGAGCAATAATAACGAGGACTCTAAGGGAATAATATTACTCATCATTTGGGTGTTTCCGGAAATAGGGGACCCTAATATAGCACCGTAAATAGTAGGATCTTTATGATAAGGACCCCAAAATGGGGTACCCCAATTTTCGGAAACTCCCATTTGGGGCTTCTATATCAGGGTTCCTGATGCTCATGGGGCGGAGGCTTGGGACTGTTCGGGCCCAAGGGTCTCGTCGATCCTGAGGCTCGTGAAGTTCGGGGCCTCTACCCTGATCCCTGAAACCCCGAAACCCTGAAAACACCGGAACCCTGAAAACCCCGAAACCCTGAAACCTACACCCTGAACCCTGAAACGTGAACCCTAAACCCTGAAACCCTGAACCCTAAACCCTAAACCCTGAAACCCTGAAAACCCCGAAACCCTGCACCCTGAACCCTAAACCGTGAACCCTAAACCCATTGGAAGCCTAGTCCCACTGACTTGCATCCCTCAACCCCAAACCCAAACCCTAAACCCTAAACCCTAAACCCGAAACCCTGAACCCCGAAACCCTGAAACCCTGAAACCCTGGTTTGCATGGTCGGGGGGCTCGTCGGCTAAGGCCTTTCCCATCTTTTGCCCCAGAGGTCTGGGGCTAGGGCTGAGGATTCAAAGGAGGAAGCCTTAATGATTAGGATAGGGTTTTTTTGGGGGGGCTCCTTATTAGAACTATTTTAGAAATTTGGGTTGTTGGGAATTCCTTAGTATAAGTACAGCATAATATACCCCAAACCCTATTATAATTATTAAGGCCCCTATCTTGCAAGTAAGGACCATGTTCGTTTGTAACAGGAAATGCCGAATAGACACCATGATACTACTGTCATTGAGCCCAAAATTAGAGCAGCCTTGGTTTGTTTTCCTAGCTTGGCCCCATTTGCATTAAGAATGCTGCATTGCAGAAGGCCCCTTAGAGAGAAGCGGCTTTTGCTACACCGGGCCGCCGCCAGACCGGAATCCCTAAACCCCAAACCCTTCCTGTGCCTGACTGGGCGGCGTGTCCACTGCTGCATACCAAAAGTCGCGAAAGCGCAAGCTACCCGTGCCTGCAGTTTAGGGAAGGGGAGGGGTTAGAGCGGGTTCAGTTCAGGGTCTTGGATTTCGCGTGCACCCGAAAGGTTAAAGGCACTGTAGGATCGTGGGCGAATGCAAGCACGGGCCGGGATGCTGAACAGAGGGTTTCGACGAGGTTGAAACTGTCCAGCAAGCGCAGACTCGCAGTGTTGGGTCGAGTGTCGAACCAACCATGGTGAGTCTGGAAGTAGCTTCATCTTCACCACCTTCATCAACAGTGACAACCGCATCATCGTCCTTCCCCGCCCCATGATCATGGTAATCGTGATCGCATCAGGAGCATCATCATCATCATCACAGCAATACTTTCATACGCAGAATAGTCATCGGCACAACAAGCACACCAACAACACCATCAGCACACCATCACTATCGCAGATCATCGTGAAAGTCACGATGATCCCCTACTATCACCATAACCGTCGCCATTGCGACAATAATCCTGATCGTCAGTGTCGCCATCAGCAGTGTCCGCATCACCGTCATCGTCAAGCGAATCAACAACAAAGAGCAGTGCGGGGCAACGCGATCGCAGGCATCACTAGCAGGATCATCAACAGCATCTCCTTCATCACCAATACCACCATCATCAACAACAACAACAACAAGCAGCAACGAACGCACTCGATCAGGAAACACAACAGCACCACATTCATGCTGTGTAGCTACATGAGGCGTGCACAGCACGAGCGACGTTGAATGTCTAAGTAAAATGATAGTGGCGTTTGACCCAGATGGGCATCTAGGCCATCCCACATCCGCTCGACATTAGGTATGACATGTCGCGTTTTCAGAGCACGAGATAATGTTCAATACAAACGAGGATTTGTGGTCCGGCAGCAAGCACATCCCAAAAATCAAAACCATGCAACCCTGCAAGGGGCTGTCCATTTTGTCTGAACATTTCCCTACTGGTTGACAATTTGGCTGCCTAGTAGTTCTGACAAGCCTTGGCGAGGGCTATAGAATTGCAAACTTACAGCTGCTGAGAAGGAATAAGTAGCCATGATGAACCCTCATGACATGCAACTTCCAGGAGTTGGATGTTTGCTCCCTTTGCCGTCAGGACCGCAGGGTTTCTTTGGCCATCGATTGTGGCCCTTGGCTGAGGTTTGGAAGAAATCGCGCTGTCTTGCAAGGTATTTCTTCAGGGCATCTACGGCATCTAGCACCAGCAACTGCAACTCCAAACCACAAACCTGCAAACCTTGCGGGTTGATTTCGGGTTTAGGATTCAGGGTTTAGGGTTTAAGAGTTAAGGCTTCAAAGCTTTAGGAGTTCAAATTTCAGATCTTTCTTCGAAGACTAAACCCTAAACCCTAAACCCTATTGGCACTGAGGCTTCAACCACTCGGCTCTAGGGCTCGTACGGTTGATGATACAAAGCCTGCATTACCATGTTTAGTTTAGGTGTCAGGGTTTAGGTTTCAAGGTTCAGGGTTTAGGTTTTAAGGTTCAGGGTTTAGGGTTTAGGCTTCAGGCTTAGGTTTTCACGTTTAGGGTTCAGGCTTCAGGTTTCAGGGTTTAGGTTTGAGCCCCAAGTCTTACTTGGCCCGGCCACGGTAGATGTGCAAGGCCGTGTACGCGCATGCGAAGGGGGCGCCGAGGATGAGGGTCAGCAAAGACCAAACTGTGCCCATGCGAGGGCCCTGATGTCAGGGAACTTCGAGCGAACATGAGCAAAAACCTCAGCAGCCACAGTATAAAGGTAGTTTGTTTATGTTGCTGCCCTGAAAGAAACCGTCGGTAGCAAGCGTATTTCGAACTATGGCAGCACCAACACCACAAGCAAGTGCCAGTAAAGGGTTGATTGTGGACAGCAGCGCTAATTTTAACAAATAAAGTGGCAGCAGCATCCACAAGAAGAAAAATCACAACAGGAGCGGACCAGCTGTTCCAGTCACAACCACCTTAAATCATGATCATCACCATCACCACGACCATCAACATAAAGAGACAGACATGGAAGCCCCCCCACATTTAAAACCAATGCTACGGATTTCTGCACTATCCGCCCCGTCCCGGTTTGGGCCGTCCCGGTTTGGGCCGAGAAGACCCGGAGTCTCGTTGCTTGAGGCATTTCTTGGTCGTGCCTGTTCGCCACTTTGCGGAGTGCATCATGCCCGTTCACGATCTGCGGGCCTACTTGGAGGTTCATGGGTAGTTATAAGTGGAGTTATAAGTCCCTTAATATGGGTTATAAATATAGTTACCCTACTTATAGCCCCACTTATAGCTACCCATGAACCTCTCACAGGTCTGCGGGTCATGTCGCAGCTTGCGGGAGGCCCTGGACCTTCCTTCGTGAGGCAAACGCCGGCCTCAGTGGCAACCGCCACCGCACAGAAGCAGCTCGCTGCCACGTAGTAGTCCACCACCTAAACCACTGTGCATCGGAATCAGGTCAAGCACACAGTTCTTGGGACTATGATGATGACGATGAGGATGGTGACGTTGATGTTGATGTTGGGTTTGGTGTTGGTGTTGATGACGATGATGGTGATGATGATGCTCATCATCATCACAATAATGGTGATGATGGTGGTGGTGATGATGATGCTGATTTGATGACGAACTACGAAGTTACATACAATGAAAACTAATGGTGCTGATAAAGATTGTGAACATACTTGTCCTCTTGTCACGCATACGAGACACTAGGAATTCCATAGACAGAAGTACCCTCGTGAAATTGTTCCTGCAGTTCTTGTGGGAATTCCGAATTGGTTTACGCCTCTGAGCTATGCACGAACCCTGTTACTACGTGCGCGAATACTCCCATGACTACATTATGCGTTCCCTTTGCTGCAACTCTTCCTGTTTTTGTGCTAGTAAGAACACTATGCTGCATCATTCAGTTGCATCTTCAAAGACCGCGATCAAACACAGAAGCCACTCACCATGTTTGACAGCTCCCTCACCTCGGTCTTTTTGGCTGCGCCGCCGGTTGTAAAGCAGTGTGTCTCGCGGCTTTCGCGAAGAGAGCCCAGGCTGGCAGCCACCACTAAGAGGTGCTTTAGCACAAGGCAGCAGCACAACGTGTGGTGCTTCGTAAAGCCACAGGCTGTTCCACCACTGACCAGAACCGGTCTGCGAAGAAGGGCAGCAGACGAGTGTCCAATGCTCCAGGGTCCGGAGACCGCAGTCGACGGTAGCCAAGTCTTTTAAACCAGAAAAGGAAAAAGTTGCAGCACCAAGCGCAGTGTGGTTTTCGCATCTTCAGAAGCACTCTCTAGTGCACTCAAGGCCGCCACTTCTTGGAGGTAGTGCTCTAAGGTAGCCATGTGCTTCAAGCGAAGCTTCCACTGTATGTCCGCAACAGGGCAGCCTCGATGATAAGCAGCGACGGCGCCTCCTCCGCGAAGCCCACCAGGAGTCACAGACACCAGGCCTTGCAGCCCCAGAGCCTCCAGCGAGCGGTCCCACCTGGTGCGAAAGGCCGCAGGGCTGAAAAGGGGTAGAGCATGTCGTCCGGGTCCAGGTCGGCGAAGGCCGCTTTTATGAGCGCCAAAGCTCGGGCGTCGTCGATGCGTATACGCTGTACCTAGGGCCTTCCGCGCAGAGACGTCTTAGTAGAGTCTAGGCGCAGAAAGACTGCCGGGCAGAAAAGGAAGAGGTCGTCGGGCAGCAAGAGGTGTCGTCTGTGACAAGCCAACACCTCACCAACTCGCGCCATGCCGTAGAAGGCGAGGAGGGCACAGCCACACCAGCGTTTGTATCCTTTCAACCAAGCCAAGGTCACCAAAGAGAGCAGCAGCGCTTCCGGGACGGGTGTCCTGTGTATGACCGGTTCGATGGCCTCCCACCTCGAAAGCAACTCCCAGGCTGGACCGAGCGCTCCCTTAAGAGACCAAATGGCACGTTGGGCCCCGACGAGCGCGTATCTGTAACTCTGCTTCGTACCTCCTTCCTGAAACAGCTGGTTGCCGTAAGCACGGAGGGCCATGGCAGCTAAGAGGGGACAGGCTACAAAGACAGACACAGGATCGACCGACAGAGAAGGGGAGACCCAACGGAGGAAAGCCAACCAGGCCGAAGAACCAAGGAACAGCGAAGTCTGAGACTGCAACGGGCGTGATTCCAAGTCACCAGTGCGACGCCCCGCCCGACGACGAGGCCCGGGGTTCTTAGCTTCGCCGACTCGGCAACAGCAGCCGAGCTTGGCACAAGCAGTGGGGTCAAGGGCTCTTGCAGAAGCCCACTGAGCAGCCGCACAAAGCCCAACAGCAATGACATCGGCGAACCCGGCAGGAACGGTGTCGGCACACGAAGTCCAAGGCAACCGCGCGGCAGGAGCATGCCCAACAAGCTGCAGGTGTTTCTTCCGGCTTCTGCACAGCAGGCGAGAGCCGCCCAAGGCACAGTTTGTGGCAACTCTGGTGCGTTTGCGCCATAGGCATCCAAACTGACACATGTCAGCACGTAAAGTCCAGGCAGAGTGCACCCAAGCTTCCTCGTCCCACTCCGGCAGGAGCCAAAGGAGGGAAGTGTCCGGATGGCCAAACCAGTAGACCAATCCGAGCTGATCACAGCGATCCCGAAGATGCGAGAACCAGGCAGCGAAGCGATTGTCAGCGAGGACCTTCGCACGGGCACACGGAGAAAGCAGATCGCGACCCAAAGGCTGGGCGCGAGAGCGAAGAGGGGGGCGAATGGCCCGAGAAAAGGTCGAAGCTGCGGGAAGGCCACCGACCACAGCGAAAGCACCGAGCTCGACGAGGGTCCCAAGTCGAGACTGAAGAGAGGGCGACGAGAGGTCTTCCTCAGCTGAGCGCTGCACATCGAAAGTAAGAACCCAAGGGGCACCACACCGAAGCAACGCGCGGGAAATCGAGCGCCGCGCGCGCTAAGCTCAAGCACACCAGGCACAGTCAAATCCAAGGGCGTGCGCTTTGCACACACGAACTGCTTAAGAGGAAAAGACTGAAGCAGGCACAGCCAAGGCACAGCAGGGAGTGCCGAGTCCCCAGAGTTTGCGCCGGGTTTGTCGAGGCAAGCGGTGGTTGTAACGGAGGTTGGCCTTTGCCCGGCGGCAACAGAAAGGCAAGGCTGCTTGTAACGGGCAGCTGTGTTAGCAAAGTCGCG